GCAGTCTGAGATGTGAAGGGTTGGTGTTTGAAAGAGCAAGAACACGCTCAACCAGGGAAACGAAAGTTGAGGTACCAGATAAAAAGTTGCAGCAATGATTGTTTAGTAGTTGTTGATTTGATATCTCCAAAGTGAACGGCCAGGCAATAAATAATGCGGAGATTGACTTATTGCGGTTCGAAGCTCCAGTTGCCGAGGTTGTGGGAAAGCTTTATGTGCACAAGATGAGATGCCGACAGACCTCGTTAGCTTGCCCGCTGGCTTCTCCTCAAAAATAACTTGGGAGCGTATATTATGGAATTATTGTAATTGATAGTAGATGGTTCGCTCCAGAACAGTACAGAGTAGCAGCGATTACGTGCGCCGTGTCATAAGAATCCCGCCCTTGAGTAGGTGTGCAAAAAAAGGAATGTATGTACAGATGAACTGCTTGGGGGTATCAACAAAACCGAACGCCAGACAGATATATTCCAAGCAAGGGCACCGAGCCCGTCATCGCGATGGCATCCCCAACAGCTCCCCGAGCTCGTCACTGGTCAATGTGCTTCTCCGTCGGTCACGAGCGGCTTTCTTGGAGGTTTTCACTCCTCGAGTTCTCTTTCGGCTTTCTGACTCCTTGCGAGCTTCCTCTGCGGCTCGCGCTTCGCTTTCAACAGCTGCTAGCTTCTGTGACACGCTCAATTGTGTCTCGTCCTCGGGAACCTGTTGCCATCAAGTTAGACCTCAACTACTTCTAATATCACTTGTTTTGGCCCTTACCTGTGACGTCTTGGAATCTACCCTTTTCTTTGATGGCCTTCGAGTCACAGTTTCGGATTTGTGCGCTTTGACCACCAAGGTCTCGTCTTCTTGGCCAGGCGCTACACATGGCGAGCCTTGAAGTCCAGGTGTAAAGGATACTTTCCGAGGTCCAGGAACGATATTATCGCTCCGTTCCTTCAGAGCGCGACTGGTAGGTTTGCGAGATTTCCGTTCGCGTGGCGAGGCGATTCTGGCACTGGTTGCGTTGCCAGGCTCGTCCCGGTCTGCATTATATTTGGCCACCTTGACTGGGGCCTCCGCCTCTTCCTCTGCCTGTTGGTCTTCGTAAATGGGAGACTGCATGGTTGTATCAATCCCACTATCGGCTGTGGATGCTTGCATCGAGTCGACGCTGAGGTCGAGTTTCAATCCCAGCCGGAGCTCCTCTGCTCGCACCGAGTCACCTCCGTCGGCAATTCTCTTGTGCCAGCCGTCCATGAGGGTAACGGCCTGTTTCCATCGAGTCTCCATCTTCTCCCATCCTTCTCGTAGACGTTTGATTTCCTCATCGCGGACTTCGACCTCTTCCAGAGGTACAAAGGAGGGGTTAGTGAGCAATGTCCTCAGGTGCTCGAGTACTCTGTCCATTTGAACCGATAGTTCCTCGCAAGATGAAGGGAGTGTAGTGACGGGTCCCTGGGACGACTTCATGCCCCGTGTGCTTGTCGATGCATTCGGATACTGCTCGTCTCCTTCATCCATCTGTGACAACCCTTGTAGATCCAGCAGAGTCTGAACAGTATTGCGCGCAAGCGCAATTAACGTATCGTTTTCGTCGCTCAAGCTCTGGCACAGTTCCGTCAAGAATTCGTTCGTCTCCTGCTTCAAGCTGTACCCGGGATCATTGACTCCTTCTCCACCGGCGAGCGACCGAGATTTGGACAGTCGATCAACCGTAGGGTTAATGTTGATTGTCGTCACGCCCAGTCCTTCCCGCCTTCCTCTCTGTCGCTCAGCCAAGTGTGATTTCAGCTTCTGCATCTCCAGGTCACGCTTGCGGACGTCATTGGCGCACTGTGCGCGAATTTGTTGCACAGCGGTCTTCATGCGTTGTATCTGCTCTTTCAGTCCTCTGATCGTCGCTTCCGAGCTGGACAGGTTTGTTTTCAGGGCACGTTCTTGGGCATCCGCCAGAGCCAGCGACCGGGCCAATTCCGACGTCTTCGTTTTCAACTTTTCCTGTAAATGACTTTAGCCGTTGCTCTCGGCCATTCGCACAAGTCCAACCTACAATCTCAAGCATTTTCTGCGAGTCCTCCGCGCGCAATGTCCGAATCGTGGTGGCGAGATTCTCCCGGTGCTCTGCTTCCCGCTGTTGACGCTGGTCAGACACACAGCTCAAATAGAATGGACGCTCCCAATTCACATACGTCTCTTCTCAAGACCAAATCATTAACCAAGTTGATGATTCTCGCCATCGTACCATCGATCCCTCCTTCGTCGTTCTCCGGTTGAGCGAAGTCGATCGCTCGGCCACTTTTGAGCAGCCCTCGAGCAAGGAGCACATTATTAATATAAGTTGATGCCGCCTGTAGATTATGCGGCTCCATGGCTTGACCTGCAAGCTTTATCGAATATCTGGAGCCAGCGACAATGGCGACGTGGTGGTGAATGATTGTTGTTAACGACGAACCGTTATTTTCCAATGAGCAGGGATTATTCCAAAAGGGGAAGAAAGTAAACACCGCCATTGCTGGGGCTGTCCGTTCCGACCAAAAGCGCAGCGGCCTCGAAAATGGCCACGCGCAATTCCCGTTGCCAGGTTGATGATGCGCGTCTCTCTTCCGCGTCAGGCGGTGTGGGAAGTGGATTTTAGTGGAAGATGGCTTTATCTCGAGGTAAGTCGTTTTCTTTGATATTGTCGTTAAGGTAGTCCAGCTGAGTGCTGGGATGAATATGAATCCATTAAGCCTGATAATGATGTTTGTGTTCAGTGGCTGAGATCTTTGTCAATAGATAGTGGCCTGACTGATGCCGCCGCATTACTGCAACAAAACGGCCAGAAACTATATCAGCAAGGCAATTTTCAAGCTGCCCTTGACGTCTTCACAGAGGTAATTTTACCTCACAGGAGCTATCTCTGGCGAGTATTTTGTGAATGATGTTATTAAACTTCCTTTTGTTGAACTAGGCTTTGGAAACCGGCCATGGCGATGTCCTGAGTGTTTATGATAACCGTGCTGCCACCTATACCAAGTTAGCCAAGTATGACCTGGCCCTGCGAGATGCCAGGGCCATGATAAAGACTAACAAACTAGACGCTCGGGTAGGGTTGCAGTTCTCACATTGTACATGTCGAAATGCATCTCCATTGACCGTTGACAGGGCTATCTTCGATGTGCAAAGGTCCTGCTGTCGGATGGTAAACCTGACAAGGCACTTGATGTCTATGCTTATGCCTTAAAGACTTTGCCGATATGCGATCCTCGTCGTCAGGTAGGTTTTCTTACCTAACTCATGCCTTACTCGAGCCACGTTGTCGGACTCCAGTTCTCAGACGTACTGACTGTTGCGTAGCTTGTAGAGCAACTTCATGACAAGTTGTGGAACAAAGTACATGCAAAGTGCCATGATCCGTTCAGCGTATTGCCTTTGGAAGTAGCGATGATGGTCGTGAATCATTTCGACTTCAAACAGATTGTGTGAGTGGATAAGACGCATACTCTATAACACAGCTCTGACTACTTTCGCAGGGCTATTCTTCGCGTATCAAAAAATTGGGATCGATTTCTATCGTCCATACGAAGTCTCTGGATGCGTATCGATCTGTCGGATGCTCGTGGCAAAATCCACTGGGCTTCGGTCCGGGCGTACATCCGTCGATCAAAAGCCATGCTCACACATGCCATTGTCAAGAATGTTTCGACGCCATCTACGCAAAGAGTTTTGGAATTCTTTAGCAGATGCCCGAACCTAGAGCATCTTGAGATATGGGCTCAGTCCAAGCCTGATGTCCTCTACGACCTGTACAAGGGCTCCAAACGATTAAAATCTTTGATTATATCTGGCCACACAGCCCTACCACAGGAGACAATAGGCAAATTCCTTCAGACTTTGCCACTTTTGGAGCGACTCGAAGTTCATGATGCGAAGCCATCTAACTTGGCTCGGGTACAGTGGCCGCAGAGACTCCCAAGTCTCAAGAGTATCACTTTCGGTGCTATGGTCGCCGCTTCTGCACCGGACGTACAGGCTCCCGCTCTTCATCTTCCGGTATGCTTGACGTTGCTTTCCATCTTTCACGTGTAATACAATGAGTCTAATGCCGTACAGCAGGGACTTTCGACGTGTCTTCCTAATCTAGAAGAGCTCCGGCTCAGCTGGAACCCACGAATCTTCACCCCTTATCATCTAAGTTTTGACGTACATGAGCTTTCACGGCTGCGCCGGCTGGACCTGAGCGGCATGTATGTTGGAGCCGAATTCGGGCTGCCGTCTAGCCTCGAATACCTTCGCATTCGTGGAGGCACAGGGCTCGTTGGAGGTGCCCTCGTCCAAAGGGAATTCCCATTTGTGTACGAGGAACCATTTGAGCTTCCAAATCTTCATACACTCATTCTCAACGACGTGCCTTGGGTCACGGGCTACACCGTTCAGCACTTCTGCAGCATCGCCAAGGCGCCTTTAAGAGTCCTCCATCTCGACAGCTGCTTCCGCATCACCGGTGCGCAGGTTTCGGAACTAGTCCGCATGGACGGTCTGAGCGACTTACAGGAACTCAACATTTCGCACATTGCTGGTACTGACGACAAGTTGGCTGCTGCTATAATTAGCGCACTACCCAGCCTCAAGGTCGTGCATCTCTCATATACAAGGATCTCCGGCTGCGCAATAAAGGCTTTTGCCGATGCGCGAAGCTCCGACGACAGCGTAGCGAAAGTGGATCGAATATATGCTAAGTTCTGTGACGAAGTGTCATCAGATGCGGTCGCCTATGGACGAGCTCGGGGCGTTGAAATCATCGCATAGAGCGCTACGAGCAGGTCTCTGACTATACATGCATTCTAATTCGGGTTTGCGGAACGTGTATTATTAGATGATCTTCTGGACAAAACAGAGCAGGTCTCATCAAACAGAATGGACATGACATCATATGGATGGAATTAGTAACACCGTATACACAGGACAAAGCCATAGCAGTGGCAGGGGTTTGAGCGGGCAAACAGACCCAACTGTGTAACTATAACAATCTACGGACATTAAACACCCCGCTCCTTGCACCACCTCTCGACCTCTCTCGCCAATTTCTCCCTCTGATCGCGCACCATTTCCATCATAGGCTCCACCTGCTTCTGCACCGTCGCATCGTACGCAAGATGCCCATTCGAAACGACTCCCGCCGCCTTCTGTGGCGCCAGATAAGTATCGTAGATCGAAACCATCAAATCCATCACCGCAGACAGCTGGTTCGGAAGCCACTGTATCCACATTAGCTATATTCTCCTCACATACAACTAGAGAAAATTACGAACCGTGACGATGGGACTACCACCCGTAGCAGTGGGATGCGGCGTCCGCTTGATGATATACTCCCTAGCAAACAGCCAGTGACGCCAGCGGAAGCTACGGACGTGGTTCAGCGTCTTGAGGAGCAGGACCGTGGTTTCTGTATCCTGGACGGCGAAATTGCGGACGTCGACTTCGGCGGCCTTGGAGTTGATGTAGGCGAGGAATTCACGGTGGGGGAGGGGTCTGTAGGCGCGGAACTCGTACAGGATCTTGGTGAGGGGGGTTGAGGGCATGGGGATTTGGAGGAGGTGGTCGAGGAGGGGGATCTGAGGTGGGCATTAGTTGACATTGCAGATGAAAGGGGTCAGGGTGGCGTACCATGCTGTCGTTGGCGCCACTTTCTCCTCGGAAGTAGAGGGGCTTGTTGTCTAGAACGCCGTCATAGATGACGCCGTTGGGGAACATGGATTGGGAGGTGATGCCGAAGATGAAGACGCGGAAGGAGAGGTATTCGGCTGGCTTGGAGTTGGCCCACATGTCTGACAATGTTAGCCGTGGTCCCATTGGTGCAGGCGGATGACAGTGAAGGGACTTACCCTCCATGGAGGCTTCAATCTTCTCCATCGACGTGAGAATCTCTCGGAAGCCGTCGTTGACCACGGAGCGAGGGCCACCTTGCTCAAGGGTATCGACGACCTTGAGGGCGCCACTGATCAGGCCATTGGATTCCTTGACCATGTCGACATGGGTCAGGATAAAGCCTGCCTCGGAGCTCTTGGGGTCCAGGCCGCGCTCAAAAGCTCTCACCAGGCGGAGGTTGTCATACACCAAGCCCTTAGATGGGTCCGCAAGATGGTAGTTGAAGAGCGAATAAGCGGCAGCATAGGACATGAATGGAGGGATGTCCAACCTGAACAAGGTGTCAGTGATATAACATAATGGAAAGAACAAAGAAGACATACAACTGAGCGCAGTGGTACATGGGACGGGCAACAGCCTTGGGCAGCTTGTCCCGTCCCAACCCATAGCCGTCCTCCGGGGCCTTGCACCAGTTCTCCCAGCATGGCTCAAGCAGATAGGCCGAAGCAAGAAAAGAGTAGTCTCGGAACACTGCGGTGACCATGTAGAGGTCCCGGGAGCCATCGGCAGTGACGAGCTTGTCGACCTCGTCAGTCAGGTCAGGAAGTTCAGTCTCCACAGCAGGGCCCAGTTCATACTTGGCCAGCAGACCGGGACTGCCATCCTGCCTGAGGACAGGCATACGATCCAGCAAGTCCATCAAGGGCTTGAAGGCGTCGGGCAGCGTAGTAGGAGAGGTGCAGTAGGGTAGAAAGCCAGTGGAGGTGGTGATGGTGAAGGGGTCCAAGGACCGGGGAAGGGTAGCAGGGTCATCATGGATATGAGGGAACCGCTTCAGGGTTGTGGTAGAGGTTGGAGGGACTTTGATTTGAGTCATGATGGAAGTTGACAGTAGGAAAATGGGTCTATGTGTCTAGAGGGGAAGCCAAGGGTGACTTGATATAGTGGATGGTGAACTAAGAAACACAAGGGGATCTATGATATCAGACAAATGAAAGAAAGCGGCAGTTCACAACGTCAGTTAGAGCAAGACGAGGCCTCCTGAGGACTTGGAATCTAGAGAAACAGACGGGGGATTTGGCAGGAAAGGAGGCGATTCTTATAATATCAGAGGCCGGTATTATTTCCGGCCACGGGCATGCCATTACGAAATGCGCGTGGAGTCATTGACTCTGCGCGTGAAACCATGTTAGAATCATCTGCAAGAGCCATGGCATCAAATACTAAAGTGATATAGAGATATCCGATGCAAACTTCACCATCTTTTGGCTGATCATTGCATCTCAATGCCTCAACAACATCTCTATACAAACAGCTGCCAGAGAGGGCACGATAATGTCACGGGAGCACGCTAAACCCGATTTGGCGGAGTAGACGCCCGTCTTGAGACGCAGTTTTCGACCCTCGCACCTTTGGGGCCAACCTGAGACAACATGTAAGCATTATATCATGTGCCTGAAATCAGTTGTCATCAAAGAAACTGGCCCATTCATGCTTGTTGCGGCGATAATGCCATTGAACACTCCTTGTCATGTACATTGCCAGTTCCATATCTAAGTAAATGCCAAGATTTGCTGTTACATAAAGCATACTCTGATTGGCTACGTCTGCCGTCATCCTGCGAGATTAGCGTTTTTTAGTCCCGTTAGCGCGATAAGAGGCCGGAATCAATCCGGCCTCCGAAGATAGCCGGAGATCTCACGTGATTCATACAGATAAGGTTGGAGATGCGCTCACGTGGACTGCGTTGGCATGAGAATATATGCAACTGAGAGCGCGTCCCAGGTTTGTCTACTCGCGTGACCGACTGTTAGTCTGCATCAGACCTGCATTGCGAATATATTTCTCACCGTACAATGCATCCGGCAAATTAACAGTCTCATTATCAATGTGAGCTCCTGGGAAGTTGTTGAGTCTGAGAAACGAACTCGACAGACTGGGGACCACCCCTTCTTGGTTGCTAGTACCCGTTGTACGGGAGGACTATGCGCCCAAAGCAGAGAATGACTGCGACTTATCCTGACAAAATCTTCCTCGGACACCACCAGCGAGGCAGGGTCTCGTAAAATCGAAGACAATTTATCAAATGTAAGCCAGCATGCGACGATCATGGATTGAAACAAGTATCTAGATGGCCCTTTCCAATGACTTGCTCCGTGCTCAATGCACGACAGCAAAGTGTATTTTGATGCGTTGACCCGACTGAATCAGCCATGAGGCTTTGTGTCTGAGACAGGCCGCAATTTAACAACTACCGTGGAGGTAGAAGCTCACATATTCACTTGAAAAAGCCTTGAAAAAGCATACAGGAGGCCTTGAAGGACTGACCGATGTGAAATAGATAGAAGAACTTGCCTATAAGAACATTGATGCTACCATAAGGGCCGAGTCCCTCGGATAAAGTTGCCCAACTTGCCCAACCCGATAATTTTGACGCGCTGTTCATGCTCTAAGAGTACCAGACTCTGAATGCTCATGGAGACGCCGTGGACCAGTCTGTTTTCAAGGGACCTTCCTCATTTGAAGCAGAGATGATATTGCATACGAGTTCATGCAGAATATGTCTAGTGAACTCGTAATCGTATAATGTACAGTTCGTGACTAATTTACACATTCCACTTCGCAAAAGTCGAAGTGGTATATAGTTGGTTCTTGCATAGTCATTAGCTTTGATCAGAGATTTAAACATCAGAACTTACTGGACCCAAGATCATATGTCAAAGCAGTATAGACCCAGGCATATCCATTCGCTCAACTTGATTATGACCCGATTTTACGGTTTCCATGTCACCCGCTCGACCCTTGAGAATCTGTGCTAGGAGACACTTTTTGAAGCTTTCTGTACTCCTCTTCCAGGGCTTTCTGCATTTCAAACTCGGCTTGCCGTTCCAATCGAATCCGTTGTTTTTCCATATCTCGTTCAACACCTTTGTGCATTTGCTATTAAGATGCCAGAGAATTAGCCTTATATACTTGAGGGATACTGAGCCGTCTCCCAGCTTACCGCTTTCTCTTGCTCTTGGGACCAATGCACGAAGTAGACGATCCCAGCAGTGCCAAGACTGGTGAGCGCTAAAGTCACCTTGGAAGCTCGCGACATTGTAGTGTCCTTTGAGAAGCGCAGCACGTAAACAGCTCAATTGACGCTCGGACAATGCCTGGCAATCTAAAAAGCCGTATCGGTGATAATCATCAACGGCAGCGGTGTGGGATGGCAGAACGCCTGACCGCCTTGCGGGTCATTCGTGGCGTATGCGGTTCGGGGATCGAGCTGCCCACCACCAGCTCCACAAGTCTACCTGATCTATCCTGAGCTCTGTCTCCTTTATTTGATTATTGTCGCGGCTTCTAGAGACATTTAGACAAGATGGTGAGCTATATGTGCTTTTGTGATTCGAAGTACGGCGAGGACGCTAACATACCTTATCTAGTCCGCCCAGAACTCAGCAGGCATTCAGACCCTCCTCGATGTAGGTCACACGGTGGTGATTGCTGTTGGACTTGACTGATGCGCCCCTGTTAGGCTGAGAGAGAGGCTCAGAAGATTGTACAGCAAGGTACGTACCCTGTCTTCTTGTGACTTCGCTAAGAGATGTGGATTTCATGAGACCTTGCTAACCTCCTGCAACTCCAGCCAGAGAATGTATGCCCGCATGAACTTCGCCTCGATTGACATATCTGACGATGTGTACAAATAGATCGCACAAAGCGGATAAGGGACGCAAAGGCAGAGGCTCAAAAGGAAATTGACGAGTACAGACAACAGAAGGAGGAGGAATTCAAGAAGTTCGAGGCTGAGGTGAGTCTCGGTTCTGACCATGGGTTCTGATGGGCCCCATGCAGCGGGGTCTGCTACGCTGCCTCATGACGGTGGCTGACTATTGGACAATCCCACAGCACTCGAGCGGATACAAGAAGGCCGAGGAGGATGCCAACAAAGAGGCCGAGGCGAAGCTTCAAGGGATTCAAGCTGCGGGCAAGGAGAAGGGCGGCAAGGTTGTTGATGACCTGATCAATGCAGTCGTTGATGTGAAGCCTCAGGCGTCAGACAAGATAAAGGCATAGAAGTTTGGTACATCAATGTCTGCTGTCTTTAAGCCCGTACGCAGTGGTTGCATCTGTTCGGTTTTTTGCTTGCTTTAGGGTCTTGAACATAGCTTCTGTGTTGCTGTTCGCATAGATATCAAATAACGTGGATGCTCTTCATGGTAAGCTCGATTTATGGCTGCAGATCAGCCGGGTATTCTAGAGTCGGGGCGTCCACACCTAACATTCAACTGACAATCCATCAGTGAAAGCCTGGCAAATTGTACAAATATGCGCACATGCTATTAGCCCCGTTGTCGGTCTCAGCGCCAATGATTATTTGACAAGCATGTATGGAGTAGATAGTAAATTCTGCCTGAGGCATGAATCGCGGATCCACTTGCGTCATAAGGACTGCGGCATCTAAATCACAAGTAAACTTGTCCTTCTTCATTTCTCTTTCTTTGAAAAAATTATAACCAAAGACAAATTTGGTGGATGAATATGGTGCATGTTGGCGCACAATTGGATGCGTCTGCACAAGTAAGGGTTCTTCGCAGCCTTTGTAGGTTTCGGTCATTTGGTTCCTATCGGAGCTTCCACTCTTTACCATGCAGGAGCAATTCGCATAAGCATACAGGTTCTCTTGATCCTCGACTAGAAGATCTTGGAAAGGTTATACGAGACGAATATGCGGTAATCCGAGATCATTACGGTACGTCTGATGATTTCCCACCCTTCCTGTGGCCGAAGTCGGCTTGTTGATCGACCTTGGTCATCACATTAGAAACCCCAAAGTATCCAGTGGTCCTTGCGCATGGGCTTCTAGGTTTTGATGAGTTGCGCCTTGCTGGCCCTCTCCTTCCTGGAGTTCAGTACTGGCGCGGAATTAAGGAAGCTCTGACCCTGAAAGGAGTCAAAGTCATCACTGCAACGGTGCCTCCTTCTGCGTCCATTGAGATGCGTGCGGAGGAACTGGTGAAGGATATAGATGAGGGCGCCCAGGGGAAAGCTGTAAATATTATTGCGTATGTATTCTCTACTTTAATAGGTTCAAGAATAGCTTTCAGACTGACCAGTTTACAGACATAGTATGGTAAGATAGTCCTTTACCTATCTTAGTCGATGAAATATTCACAGTCGTCTTACAGGGGTGAGATACACTGTAATCAGATGAGACTGCTTCGATGGTTTTGTTGATATGAATGACAAGGGGCCTTGATGCTCGGTACATGATAAGTCGTCTAAGACCGAAGAAGTTCAAGGTCTTGTCTTTGACAACGATTGCGACTCCTCATCGAGGTATGTTGTGTCCTTGGAATGATTCACGGTTATTGACTTAGACAATTCAGGTTCTGCGGTTGCAGATTATGTTCTTGAGCGGATTGGCGGTTCGTTCCATAATTACCCTATACAGAGAATCAAGCTCATGCCTGAAACCCTGCAGACGAACGGCTACCCCAGTTATATTATACTCTGGGAAAACTCAAGGTTGAAACTGGAGCCTTTTCTCAGTTGACGCGCAAGTACATGGCAGATACGTTCAATCCAGCGACGCCTGACGTTGAGGATGTTCGGTGAGTGGTCTGCAGTAAATCAATGGCAGCAAGGCTGAGCGTTGTTACAGTTACTTCAGCTACGGCGCAGCGATGCAACCAAGCTTTTGGTCTATGTTCCGCTTGCCCCATCGCGTTCTCCAAGAGGTGGAAGGATATAACGATGGGCTAGTGAGCGTCGCTAGCAGCAAATGGGGAAAATACAAAGGTACCCTTGAAGGGGTCAGCCACCTGGACCTGATCAACTGGACCAACAGGTTGAAGTGGCTTGCGGGCGAGGTAACTGGAAACAGGCAAAGGTCTGTGAATCACTCCCTGGCCTTGAGTTCGTCCACTAATACGAGCTGGTTTCAATTGTAGGTTCAACGCCATCGCTTTCTACCTTGACATTGCAGGTAGGATGCGTCAAATTCTCGTGCGATCAACCTAGTTCTGTGGCTGACCATCCATGTTAGATATGCTTGCTAAGGAGGGCCTTTGATGACGCTTAGTTTGGCTATTAACGAGAAATCTTGATGCCTAGAGATCCGCAACTGGAAGCTGCTGGATGATGCTCCTTTTTGTCCCGTTCTGGAAACTTGGCGATACCCGATTAGTCTAGCGATTTCTATGACAGGGCAATGACTTTGCATGTCGTGTCAAACACAGTTATAGGTACATATCTTGACGCCGCCCAATAATGATTAGTCTTCTGCACAGATTCTGAATCAGTGGAAACCTCGAGGGTGGCGGTGCAGCTCTATTTCCGTAGAATGCGAGTGGCTTTGCTCGAACCCCGGCCTAGGCCCAGAAGAACAGCAGATCAGGATAACCACAGTTAGCCAATAAGAATGACAAAAGGGATGAGGAGTTGTAGAAGATAACAATAAGAGGACGGCATTTCTTCATCTTTCGAATGTTTCAATTTGTGACGAAAGCAAGCCCCCTTCGAAACTGTCAGGAAGAGTCGCTAAGAGTGGCCCCACGCCCGCCTTTTGCTCTTCGTATTGGAAGAACGTCATATTTCCCACCCTCAGATACCCGTTAACTAGCTAGTTAGTCAATGCCGAAACCCCGTGCCTTTTCTCCGTCTTACACTTGATCTCTATGACACTGGTGTGAGTCTAATTTTTTTTTAATTTTTTATAAGAACAGTTTGTACAGTAATTCCATAAGACACACTTGTATCGTCCGGTTGGGGTTTCGACGGAGACTGCACGCTGTCTCTTCACTACATCAACAACCACCGTTTCCGCTATCATCTCATCAAGAAGGGAACGCTCGGCTGCTGAGATCGTGTGCCTGCTATGTCTGTAACCATCCATTTGGACAGGCCACATGCTCATTTCACCAATCTCGACTTCCTGACGGGCAGAGTTGTGCTACATCTCCCCTCAGAAGCTCCAATAGGAGGTATCCAAGTGAAACTCGAAGGAGAAAGCAGAACTCGACTTTCAGGCCCACGGCATCCACATAATGAACACTCGGATAAGAAACGGACGGAGCTTGAAGTTCATAAGGTTCGTCTGTTCGAAACAGTAGATTTAACATCAGTCCGACTAACCGACTTGACAGATCTTGTACAAGGTTGAGACACTCTTTCCAACTCCGGCTGTTTTCAACCAGACAACTCAGAATACATCGTACACATTTGCTGCTGGGACGTACGAGTATCCCTTTCGATTCAAAGTGAGTATATGATCACTAGCTGGGGCGACGACATTGATTGACATGGTTCAAGTTCCCTTTCAACAATTCATGCAGTTCACACAACAGTATGCTCACCAACCTGAACTTTACCGGGTTGAAGGTTGAGGTGGCCAAGGATACAAATCGACACGTTAAGAAAACCTTGCCTCCTTCTTTGAGTGGTTTTCCAGGCATGGCAGAGATCAAATATTATGTGAAAGCAACAGTCATTCGTCCACAGTTCTACAAGGAGAATCTGAGAGCCGTATGTACTAGTATCGTTTGGCGCAGAGAATATCGGCATGAACAGCTGCTGACTTCTTACCAGATCACACCGTTGAATTTCCTCCCAATTGAGCCTCCACGAACTGGAAGGCCTAACGAAGAGACGTACGCTAGACGTCAACATCAATTCAGCAAAGCTCCTGAAAAAATCAGAACAAAGAGTCTATTCTCCAAAGCCTCCTCCTCATCGCTCCGGGATGTGGGAGGAGAGCCTCTTCGCGTCTCTGCAGATGCAAGACTGCCGAACCCGTCCATTCTTACTTGTAATGAGCCAATACCCCTGAGGTTGCTGGTGAGGAAGGTCTCCGAGTCATTCGAAACGATCTTCCTTCAGATGCTGCAAATTGAGCTGATTAGTTATACCCACGTCCTGGCCCATGATCTTCGGCGCACAGAAGGCGGCAGCTGGGTTCTTCTCAGCCGCAGTAATATGTCTATTCCTCTCGGCAGAGGAGGGGATCCCGCTGGTACAGAATGGACACTTGATCCCTCCATGTGGAATCGCATACCGTTGCCCAGCTCGGTTGCGCCGTCTTTTGAGACTTGTAATATATCACGAAATTATGAACTCGAGGTACGAATAGGCTTGAGTCATGGGAGTATCGGAGACATGAAGGTATGTCTGGGTCCGGTCGCTGTGCTCAATATGTCCGCTTGCTGACATTCGAAGCCCCAACTCATCGTACTTCCCTTGAGAATGCCAGTCAGAGTGTACTCTGGGATAGCTCCTCCGAAAGCACTGCTCGATGCCATGGCTACTACTGGTCAAGTGACCTCATCTAAACCTCCGCCGATGACCGGCCATCCTGTGGATGATACAGTCGAGCGTCCACCAGTACCTCCCCGGCCAACGGGTCCGGTCATGCCTACCAGTGTAGAGGATGTCTATGACGAAGCGCCCCCCAGCTATGAGGACGCGATGGCTGAAACTCTAAGTCCTGTGGATGGCCCCCGCCGCGAGTATAACCCACCAGATGCTTCTTCTTCCAGCAGAACCATTGAACCTGGAGCTGATTCGACATCGTCAGTATTCCGGAAAAAGGAACGTGAGGCCACATCGCCGTACGGCCATCCCACAGCCAACTCGTCGTCGGAATCGTTTGACATGCTTCCTTCTACTCCCCCGGAGTCTCATTCCGGCTCACCTCCCACATCTCCGGTTGCACGCCAGCAAAGTGTGCTCAAGATACACAAGGCACTCCCTCCAGACGAGGAAAGTCCGCCTCAATATCAGCAGGTTGCTGAAAGCCCTACGTCAGCACCGCAAAGCCGCAATGATAGAGGACAACCTCAACCTGGATTTCGTCCGATCAATCTTGGAGTACCCAACAGAAAGCCTGTACCTAGGAGTCCTGTACCTCGGAATCCAAGTACGGGAGGCTCGTGAGCCTAGCTTGTCGTATTGGATGACGACGACCAGTCTTTCGCATTAGGAAACGATCTCTTTCCGCGTCTACGGCCACAATAGTACTGTCGCAACAGCTAACAACCATGTCCCGACAGCTTTCTTCTCAGGAGAAGGTTTCCCGTGTTCTGTCTTGAACCAAAGAAAGAGAATGGAATCATGTACGACTAATGGCCATCTCCACCAACAGCATATGATGCATCCGAAGGATATTTGGCCTCCCCAGAGCCAGAATACCCCTCGTTAAAACTCAACATAATCTTCGATACCAGCCCATATTTGCGCGAGGTGCATGATTACTCTTCTACAATTATTATTTATAGCCCACCACTATTGTAATAAAGATAACCTCAAGACAGAGATACGCCTCATGCACACTACGTGCAATGCATTTGTTCTTCATATTCAGATCCTGAAAGCTGAATTCATTGTCGCAAAGGGGCCTTCACACGGCAAAGTTGATATTGCTTCATTGAAACATTTTATCACGTAAAATGTCTTCCCTCTGCAAGTTTATAATAATTATAGAATAGGGAATCTAATCTTATCTTTCGGTATTCTTTGAGAGGACTGAAGATATATTATGGGATGATGCCTCAGGCGTCTTCGGACCAAAAAAGGATTAGCGGCAAAGCCTCAAAGAAAGAGCTCTCTCCGCGAGCTTTCAAGCTAGCTCTCACTGTTGTTTTCAGCTGTGCCGTCTTGACCTTTCCTCTAGTAATCGCATCTTCTTTTCGCGGATAACAGCATGTTTGTCCCATTTACTTTCTACTTTCCTCTGTAACTCTGTCAGTCTCAACCGGCTTCTTTACGCCGCTTGTGCTCTACCTATTGCAATAATTTTTCGCGTCACCGATTCTTACCGCTTGCGATTGAACGGCATCACCCTCCTGGGTAAAGGATAGCACGGATTAGTGGCGCTTCCAAATGACATATCCCTAGACAGGTCAACGTCCCTCTATCTTTAGGAGTTGAAGGTGTCCAAGTACCCCACGATGCGTCTCCACCTTATCATTCAGCGTCACGGTCTACCCGTGACGCGCATTCTTTGGACGACGTCACCGCCGTCAATGTACGGTCAAGCGACGCCTAGCTCCTCCGTGATCCCTGCTGCCTCTTCCGCTGTTGCATCGACGAGGACGCCGAATGCGCTATACTCGAGCGGCGGATATACCATCGCGCAGCTGCTGGAGGATGTCAATGAGGTGGTCCCGTTGGAAACGGAGCCGGCGATTTTCGACAGCGAATCGAGCGGTCAGTGGGGCTTGGAGGATTATGCCGTTGAAGTGGGTGGCTCCGAGTGTCTGCATTTCATGGAGGTCGATGGGCTCCTCAGAGATGGGGATGAAGTAGTGTAAGTTGATAGATCCGTCATCAGTCTGCTATTTGTGCGTGTCCACTGTCATTGCTCGGTACTAATTTTGCATCGTCAGCATCCGCGCCCTTCAAATCGCAGATCTCAGAGCGAGACGGCTCTCCGGCCGCCACCAAATTTCAAGCGACGGCAAACATCTTATTGATGGGGTTCCCTTTGGGCGGCCTTTCCTCAAACGACAGACGTCCTCCAGACCGGCGATTGCGATTCCACCAAGGAAGAAACGGCGTACTATGCTTGCGACTTGGGACGGTGATGCGGGCGATGGTGATGATGAGGTGCAATGGACTATTCCTGGGCGGGTAAGCTCAATGAAAGAGCTTTCGAGACTCAAGGCTCATGATGATGATGACATTCACGATGAATATACGGATTATCATCACGACGACGATTATGAAGACTACCATGAGAGTCAAGAGGAATCCGGGGATGGGACAGTCATCCGTCATCCCCTCAGTGAGGGCGAGGATGCCGAAGCTTCGGAAAGCGACGCGGACGATTCAGATTTTGAGGCCGAAGACTTGGCGGAAGAGCTGGAGGCTCTTGAGAAAGACCGGGAGACCGTGGGCTTGTCTTCAGTGAAAGTACCAGAAGAAAGGCCCACCGGGCCTGGAGGCTATCCCTTGCGGACCAGGGCCAGTGTCCTACGCAATGCTTCCGGGCGCCACGCCGACCATCAAGCTCTGTTAAAAAGCCCATCTGAAGCAGGTTCATCGCGACGAGACTCCAAAGCTGTGCGGTTCAAGGA